AAACTACCTGGTTAATAAAAGAAAGAGAGCTACAATTCACTTTTTATTCCAGTGATTTCTTTTAGAGACAGGTTTTATAATTTTGGGGKTTTTTTWAAGCTATTTCTAATAACCATGTTATAGAACAGAACATGAAGCACAGAAAACTACTGGTAAAATCTGGGGAAGATCAACAAAAATAAAATTGACAATTTTAGGGAAAGCTGTTCCATATGCAAAAACTGCTTGGGAACCAAGGTTTCTGGGGCAACAAGCCCTGTTCATTCCTCAGTGTTTCTTGCTGAATCCTTCCATGAACCTTTATGACACACTTTAAACCAAAGTGTTTTTTAATGAAATTTTGATTAATWGTATACATTCAGTACAGCCTCAGAGACCAGCAGTGGCCTGCAGGCCTCAGGACCACTGCAAAATATTGACTATACTCAGAAGAGACACTGCATATATTGTCCTCCTCCTTAGGCAGAAAGAGAATGCACTTGAGAYCGAAAATCCTCCCCAGATGCCATCTGACTACATCATGTATTTGGCAGGAAGTTCCAGAGGAGCTAGATTTATTTTGAGCTCAGCTCTGTGCCAATGGGAGTCGTGCAGCCTTTGACTTGCAAAAGCCACCCTGCCAGTTCAGAGCGTGGTCAACAGCATTCCTCTGCTTACAGACAGCCACAGGGTTCCACACTCTGGTTCAAAGGGAATTGCTTTACTAATAAGGACTTCCTCAGCAAAAGGCCTGATCATTATTTGTTTTCTTCCCATACATTCTTCCTACCTAACTTTCATTTTCTGTCCAGAATTGGTCTGTGAGCATAGATAGATTTAATTCACTTCACCTAGCATGTCCACACGCTGTCCTAATGCAGGGACATGGATTTACTGAGCCAGGTTTGCTCACCAGGCTAATGCACCCTGAACACAGAGGATTTACTTACACCCAACGTGCAGATCATTGGAACACATTTCTGAAYAAGAAGCCTCAGGCAGCATTTAGGGAGCAACACATATAGATGGATTCCATTTGAAACTGTAACAAACTGCCAAGAAACTTGCAATAATAACATACTTAGGGCAACAGAATGACTGAGAGTTCCAAAATTATCAAAAAACGAAGAAAGGGTTCAAAACAAGGAAACAGTTTCTCTTTTTCAACTCTACTCTTCCGTCTAGACTTAAACATGAGCCAGGGAATTCAAGAATGAGGGAAAGCACTTGTAATAATAGATGTTACAGATTCAACTTCTTCCATCATTTGTATATTCTGCTAACTCATGTGCATTGAATAATAATTAGACATTCATCCCCTGAAATAGAACTGGAAAACCACTTCTGGCAAAACTCAAGCCTGGATGCAYTCCAAAGCATATGGAGAGCAGTGAATCAACATGCAACATAACTTGACAGATTTTTGGTGAGTGTACTTTTTATTTAAGACACTTTTATGGTTAAAGAGTATGAAAGTGTTTCTTTGTTTAATAGTACAGAGAGCTTAATTCTGKAAAGTATTCCACATAACCATAGCATAGTAATCTTCTTCAAATCAGAGTTGCTCACTCCATTTGTGTTACAGGCTTACAATAGAAAAGGACAGATTAAAAAAAAAAGTAGGCCAATCATGTTAGAAATTTTGTTTTGTTCTCTGTTCAGGTTGATTTGTCTGTCACAGGATGCACTTCAGGTAGGCTGACATGATGTCTGAGAGCATTAGTCCACACTGTTTTGGATGCCATGAACAGGACACATTCACATCTTTAAGAGCAGACAGTGCATGCTTATGATTATGCCAGTGTCTTGAATTATTTTGCATCCTGAGCCACTAAATGGAGTAAACAGAGCTGAGGTATCTTTCAAAATAAAATAATGACCAAGATAGAAAATAGGACATTTCTCCTTAAAAGGTTAAACAAAACGGATTAAAATCTTAGAACAAAGAGATTATACAGGAAATTTCTGCTGTGTGGGGCTTTGATCTTGTTTAGTCTTTGGCCCTTCAAAAAGRCAGTCTCTGGTACATCACCGAGGTCCATGAGGTAAAGAGTATATAAAGAGTATATAAACTTGATCTGGAATCTATAATGGCCAAACTTCCATGCATGCAAGTGCTCTTATATGTTTGTTGTCATGAGCAATCCTGCTGGTTAGCCCTCACAGTGCAAATGGCAACTACAGCTATCAGAATGAACTTCAGTGGAATGTCCCTTAAATTTGGGACCCTAACCTCCCCTTGTAAAACAAAATCCCAGTATTAAGCATTGAACTGTAAAATCGTATAAATACAATTAAATTATTTTTGTTGTCTTTAGAGATGTACAAAAGTTTGTCATGTTTTAGGGTATTTTTGTTGTTTTGTTTACTATTTTTGCAYGATTTGCAGTCTAAGCAATGGCAAAATTTTGTACTTCAGAGTTACTATTCTGTGACAGAACTTTAACAATGACTCAGGGATTCCCTAACCACTAGGTTTTGGGCTGAATTAAGGTATCTAAGAGTTTGCCTTGCTCCTTCTACACAAGCTGGCACATAGCAGCACATGCTTTTTAGGCTCAAATATCATCAACAGATACCTATGGATCTTGCATTTTGGACAAAACCTAAAGCACGCATAAAACAAGAGAATATTTGCCATAGACTATCTGGTGCAACCCAGCTGATAACATCCTGCTCCTATTAGGACAAAAAAGCTAGAACAGGTAATAAGTTCTGTCTCACAGAACCTGATATACTGGCAATTCATTTCACAAAATAGTTTTCAAAAAGTCTGGAACAGCAGGCAGCAAAAGCTGGAATTCACTCAGAGATAATCTTCCACTGGACAAATATCTTCCCCAATGCACTGCCTGAAATGCTGCATAGAAACACTGCACAAGACTTTCCATCTTGCTCACAGCCCTCAGTGAGTTAAGTCTGYCATTTACTTAGAGMGCATTGGCTTCTTTGGAGACAAATCTCAATAAAGCACTCAGCAATTAGTGTAGTTAAATCATGACTGCATTTGTCATGCACCAACAGTAACATGTAGTGACAAGAAAAGCCAATATATTGATAGCTGCTACCATTCTACAGACACATCAAGTATCAACATACATTCACTAACACAGAAAAGTATGTTTACCTTCACAAAGCCACTATCAGATCTCCTAAAACAAATCTGTAAAATATGCAAAAGCAGCTCTCAGTACAAGAAAGCAGAATCAGATTTTTTTTTTCATCTGAAATAGAAACAAGCATTTAACTTCTTTGGCTTTTCTAATACATAATTTTCTAGTCTTCATGTTTCTTAGCAGATTTTAAAATAACATATTTTGCTTGGAAGGCCATAAATTATGTTTGGAGAAGAAGAGTAGAGAAGAATGTTATCAGATATCACCATATAATGTTGAGAAAGCGACTATCAAGGCAAAGGAGGCAAACMATTTGGAGAACCTTAATTTGAAAAGTAGCATTCACAGATTATGAATTATTTTTTATTTGTATTGAAGGCTTTATCCCATGGGAATCCAAATATTATACAAGTGCCTACCTCAGTAAATAGATCTAGAGTAATCTTTTTTAAAACCCAAGTGATACTGACTCGGATTTGCAGACACATACTGTGAAACAAATAATACAGAGAGTAAAATTGTGTCAGTATGCTTCCCATTAAATATTACACTACACTCCAGATACTTCCAATAAGAGAACAAGATTGGAAAAGCTCCAGATGAGGAGAAAATCAAACATTCAAGATTTTAAAATACACCAAAAATGAAGTTTATAATTTTTTAATCCAATGATCACTAAGCATATCAACAGATGACAAACACATAAGCAGGACATATAAGAAAAGTAAACATGATTTATCTCCTCCAACTCAACAAATACTCGCCTCAGTTACAATCTAGATAAAATACAATCCAATTGATAAAAAGGAAACCCAGAGGATAAACCACCAAGCTATCACAGTCATAACTGACTAACGTTTCACAGCAGAACTTCCTACTACACAACACTCCCAACCAAAATATCCTTACTCTGCTAACTGAAGTAATGCAAACATGTATCTGCAWATAAAAATACGCCAGTGTGTCTACGAACATATAAGAGAATGCATGGTGCAGCAGCAGCGAAGTGCCCGACAGTAATTTTTTTTAGAAGACACTAAGAAAAGGACATGAGTCGCTCATGCAAGCTCTGCTCCGTGCGCTGTCAGGACGGACGCCTGCAGGAGCGGGGTTGGTGTAAAGGGGGGACGCGGGGCAGAGCGCGGGGGCTCCCGGGCCGCGGCAGTGCCGCAGGTGTCGCTGCCCCGCTGGCAGCGCCGTGAGCCCGGGGAGCCGCCGGCGGCTGCCGCGTAACAGGTCCTGCGCCGCCGCTCGGGGCGGGCGCTCCGCGGGCGCGCTGCTCCCGGAGGCGGCGGGAGAGGCCCGATCCGAGCGGCGGGCGGCGAGAGGCACCGCGGCCCCGAGGCCGCCGCCACCTGCTCCGGTGCCCCGACAGCCGCCGGCCGTGCCCGCCGCCGCCACCTCCCGCCGGCCGAGCGGCAGCGCGGCGCAGCCGAGCCCCGGCGGGAAGGGAACGGCGGCCGCGCCGGGCCGGGGGAAGCGGCGAGAGCCCTGCGGGGGGCGCCCGCTCCGGAGGGAACTTCGCGGGGAGGGACGGGCGCCGGCACCGGCCCTTCGCCGGCCTACCTGCGCGGAGTGGGGCTTCCTCAGCCAGGCCCCCGGGAAGAGCCGCCTCGCCATGGCAATCACACATCCCCGCAGCGGGCGGCGGTCGGAGGCGGAGCGGTGAGGAGCGCTCCCCCGCCTGCCGCTGCAGCCGCGCCGCCGGCTCCGCTCCGCTCCGCTCCGCTCGGCTCGGCGGGGAAGAGCTGCCTCGGGCACCGGCGGCCGCCGACAAACGGCGGCTGTCAGCGGGCAGGGCGGGGGCTGCCGCCTCAGCACCGCTCACGCCGCTGCTTGAAGGGGCGAACGCGGCAGCTGTGAGGAGCGAGGCGGGGCTGAGGGGGCGAGGCGAGCCCCGCCCGCCCCGAGCCGAGCCTCTGGGGCTGTCCCAGTCCCTTTTCACCGCTCCAGGAGCCCGTGGAGCCGACAGCCGCCAGCGAGTTCACCCCGTGCCTGCCAAAAAGTGCTCGGGGCGCTGTCCGGGGACACTTACGGAGAAGTCAGTTAATAAACAACGCGTGTCGGTGATTGCGAACAGGCTCCTCTCGTTTACTGGGCATGGTATTAAAAACAGCTGCAAGATCGTTACAATCTAAAAAAAAAAAAAAAAAAAGCAAAACCAAAAAGCAAAAACCGAAAAAACGCATACACAACCAAAAAGGAGTAGCTCCTCCAAAATAAGGAAGGAATGTTTGCCTGGGCCCATATTAACACAGATGAGCGAATTCTTTTCTGGGAGGCTGGTGAGACACCTGAACAGGTTGYCCARAGAAGCTGGGCTGCTCAAGGCCAGGTTGGACAGCGCTTCGAGCAWCCTGGTCTAGTGAGAGTTGKYCCCACCCATGGCMGGAGGGCTGGAACAAGATTATCTTTAAGGTCCCTTCTAACCCCAGCAATCCTATGATTCTACATTAGTGCCATAAAGTGGGGACAGTTATCAATTTCTTCTTCACCAGAGGATCTCTCTCAGCCCTTCATGCACTGTGGGAAGCCTCAGTCCAAATGAAATTTGTGGGAACACTGTTAAGTTCAAGTAAAATTGCGCTTTCTTATGAAAAGTTTGATTTCTGTCCAGCCTTCTTGTGTTTACGACTTGATTGTGATTTCTTTTAAAGTAGTGTGTTAACAGAGTCACAGCCAGAAGCTGGGGTCTGCAGTCCTGGTGCTTTTTGTCTTTGAGACTATGCCACAGTATTGGGATAAAAATGAGACAAATATAGYATGTTATGGCTTTGGGTGTTCAGTGCACTTACAAAAGAAGGCTGCTTGGATGAAAAGATGGATCACAAAATACTGCTGTTAGGAGAAGCTGACACTTCTTTTGGCAGGGCTTACTCTGAAGGAGAGATGTGTATGTGAAAACCAAGTGTTAGGGGCTCACAAAGGATTAAAACTGCAGAATTTAGAGACTTGTGATTTAAGATTAGAGACTTGTGATTTAGAGATTGTGATTTAAGAACAGTCTGTGACTTTTTTGAATAATATAATCACTGCCAGAGTCACCCTGAAGTAAAAAACTGAAAATTAATTAGTAAGATTTGGCAGTCCTCTAAAAGCAATCCTGGCTTTAATAACAGTCAGTAACTCTCACAGGTTTTCTTCTCCTCCTATTCAGCAGGCCCAGATGGCTGCACTTTCTGCATCACCTCCCTCTACAGTTCAGCAGTTTGCATGAGTTTAGCTAGGTTATGGGCATGCARCACAACAGCAACACAAGAGGAGGCCACAGAGCAAACATTATAACATTTTGCTGAATAATCTCAAGCCCTTACCTCATCCAGTGCTCCATGCCAACCCTTGGCATGACAGGCTGGAAGTAATTGTGAAATGTTGGTGTCCCATATGGCTGGCAAGGATCTGAATGTTTCATTCCTGTTACATCTAGATCCAAACAGTTCTTGGCATATGTTCATTAGGGGATATATTTTTCACTTAGTACATGAGATCTTCATCATCTGTGAGAGCAGGTGCTTTATTCCAGCACTGAAATGTTTYGTTCTTCTTCAAGTACTCGTTGTGCCCAGGCTTTGCTAAATGCTAAAAAATAAGGMCGTTTCAGCCTTTTGCAATTACCTGTTAAATTCAAGAGAGGCAACTCCCRTGAAAAGCTCGGCCACGTAAGCCAGAACAGTAACAGAGAACGTGTGACATGCACTGACTTGGCATTCACGGGATGTGCAAAACCAAAGGAATATTCTAAAGACTGGGGGCAGATGCAAAACCCACACAGGTAAGAACATAAGTAATGTAAAGCCCTTTCCATTCATACTGCAGTTTCCATTCTGCAGTTCACACATTATCCATTTTTGTATGCCAAYAACAAAACTTCGGTAAATCTTTCTGTTCAAGCTGTAGAAGTTATGCTGATTTCTTAGTACCTATTAATACTTAATTTTTCTATCCAGGGATAACAACTAAATGTGGTTGTTCTAACACTAAATGTTGTTATTCTAATGATGCAGCRTTTTTATGTAAGATAGAAATCAACTGCTAGTTGTACAGTACAGTGCTTGTCACTCTCARTGTCAAAAGGTAAATGTAGTTTTATAGTACCTTCTTACATTAACCTGCAGTTCCATGACAATTTGGAGTTTATTAAGCTTATTAAGCACAAACCAGAAAAAAAAAAATTGATTGCAAAGGCTGAAGCATCCAGGACTTCTGGACATATAAGGAATGAAAATATGAGACAAATGAGAATACTGAAAAACTACAGAGAAGAATCTGAATTCTTTGAGATAGTCAGTGAATGTGAACTTTTAAAATATAATAAATAATTCGATCAAATTTCTTTCAAAAGCAAGTCTCTGCTACCTGAGCAAGTAATACAGGTTTTAACATTAAATGAAAGCTAAACATTAACTTRCTTCAGTGGTGCCGGACTTGCTTCTTTCAGTGATTTGAAGCAGCTGCACCCACATACTGATTTAACTTATGTGCTGTCATAAGAGACTCCATGGAAAACCCTCAGGGTTAACCCATTCTCCCCACCATAATATCATATAGAGGGAGCCTCTGGCTAATGTTAATAATCACAAGACTGTGAGTGTTAATAATCACAAGACTTCTCTTTCTCACAACAGCTTTGTCAACTTCCTACATTAATGCTCTTTTTCTTTGGCTATGCCAAAGAAATATTCAATGATCCTGTACAGCTACCACCATCTTAAAGTATTATAGCACCAGTAGAATGTAATGACTTAGCATTTGTCATTGCCCAGGTTTGTAGCTACATTTAGTATGCATATTTCCACAATATATAACATGGCAATGACTTAAAATAAAATTTCTGCATTTCCTAAAGTAAAGTCTCGAAAAATTTAGAAGTTTCTCTCTTTTTGTRTTACTCAGCTAACTACTTGCTCAGATATTTGTCTAAGAGTCTGTTTTTATACAGACTCTACATTCTTAGGCCGGTCTTTGTGATGAGAATGAAGATCTGGGGACCCATCCAACCTTTAGATCAAAACTTTCCCTCATGTTCCCTTCAAAGACAGATACTGTTTCCTTCCTCTCCACAAACTTCCGTGAACTCTGACTTAATCAGTGTGTTTACTTTAATTTTATCCTAATAGATTATCTCTTATCATTTGCTATACAGATTCTTATAAAGCTAATGCTTCTATTGCATGAGTAGGTGGAGCCATCTCTTACCCAGAAAGCAGACACAGCCTGTTAAGGATTCCCTTGTGGCTTAACTTGGTATAAACAAATCATTAATCTATTTGAGGAAACAGACTCTTCCAGCCAACAGGTTTCATTTGTAAGGCTCTATTTACACAGTCACTTTAATCTCACATGAATCCACCCTGCTGCTGAAGCAGATGGTGTCACCTTCTCTTGCTGTTGGTGCCTACCTTCTCCCTCGGGTTGGCACAAACWTTTCTGTTGTATAAAGAACTAGATCAATGATCTGAACTAAAAAAAACTAATCTTGATTCTTTTTTCCTCTGAGATAGGTTAGAGGCAGTCCAATTCCTTTCATCAGTGCCTTGGACCTATTCTAGAGTAAACTGGCTGTTTGTAACCACTGAAACATTTATCTTATTTGAAAACATATCCTTATAAATGATCATGTTTTAATAGAGTCAGATAAATTATTGAAATATCTGTGCCTCRTTTGTAGCTCTTGACTGAGATTAGATACTATTACTAACTTAATAGTGATTAATCACTATTATTAAATATTCAGATATACTGATTAATTTGAAATACAAGTCTTTGCTTTGAGAGACACAGTGTTTATTCTTTTTTCCCGGTATATGTTTTAAAATTCAAAATGTACTAAAACATTACAGTAAATAGATCTTAATAACACATGGAAAAAATATCTAGAGTAAAGAAGTCTTCAACATGTTACAATCCTGTACACTTTAGAGGACTAAGAAAATTCCAGAAATATTGTGCTCAGAAGAAAAGATTTGAAGGTGGTCAATTGTAAGCAAATGCTARAGAACAGTTCACATTTATGTTCTCATTGTTTCAAAGTCTACAAAGACAACACAGTTCAGATTCAATCAACCAATAAAATTAGCTTTCCTTTGTATGTATTTGTGCTTTCAAGTCTACTTCCTCTATTAATTGCTGGAGTTATGAGGTTCAAGAATTTTACTCAAGATTAATTGAGGTTATATGTTAAAATGCATGGTCAGAATATGCTTCCTAGCATATGTCTGGTCTGGAAAACCTTTTATCATTTTCAGATAACTTATTTTTGTGTAATGATTTATAAAAWGTACACAGCTTTCAACATGGTTATTTTACTTAATTATCCAGGCTGTTTCCTTCTTTGAATTAGTGGCAAAATAAAGTTATAATTCACTCTGAACTTCTGTTCACAGTACTTGAAGTAAAAGACTTCTTTGTTGTTGTTTTATGCTCATGGTAGTCATCTGTTTAAAAACACAAACCTTTACATAACAGAAATTTTAGTCTTAATTCCTATTTACGGAGTTTCCCTTAGAGAGTCAAGTTGGCCTTTTCTTCATGCCCTACTCCCATTTCCCAAAATTTCTTCCCCTGAATTAACATTTCCACCTTCCTGTTTACTTTATAAGGTAACTCATAGAGCTAGGAGATATCCAAGCTCTAGYCCACACTCTTTGAAAAATCCTCTTAGGTTCTAAACAGCAGATTCCAGTACTGAAGCTAGTACATACTGATATAAGAAGGTGGRTATACTGATATGAGAAGGAGTGTCAGCAGAAGTCAGTTCTTCAGAAAGAAGGTGGTGATTTTTAACTCCCGAGGAAGTATCGTATTGGAACAAATCACCCAACAGGATAGTACATTTTTCAACTCATGGTGAACTTAACCGAGAGCTTTGACTTAAGCACGAAGAAGAAAACAGCTGCARTGGTTTA